TTGGGTAAAAACTGAATTTGCATTACCCGCCAAATTATATCTTGTCTTTCTACCCCTTCCTTCTTGGCTTTCTGGGAAATATCCAAAGTTGTAAAACTCCAAAAGGATGCTAATTAAAAGTTAATGTAACTCACAGAGAAAATTCTTTCAAATGGGAGCAGTGAAGATGAACCATTATGGAGGAATTTGCAGAGTGGGTAGTTATTTTACTACACTGTGTGGCATTGAGTTAAATGTTTTTCATGGCGCCACCTCTTTCAAAAGTAGAGAGCCACGCTAGCTGTTTTCTTTGTACTTCAGTAAATTGAAATTGGTGACCCATATTGCTGTTCACCCGGTAAGAGAGGCTCACCTCATGTTGTTTTGGAGGAAAGAAATGTCTACTTGGGGCTTCGTTTTTTTCTCCTTTCCACCATGCTGTCAGCTCCATAGAATGGAATCTCAAAAGGGCTACGAGACGTGTTGGCCGTGTCTTTCACTAGCCATGTGACGTTGGGCAAGAGATGTATCTAAATCTCCGTTCTTTTGTCTGTAGAGTGGGGAATCATAGGCTTGCCCCAGAGGCTTCTAATGAGAATGAAATAAACCTACGTGGAAACACTTTGCAAGTCCAGTAAGGGGCTGCCTTCCTTGAAGGGATAATAGAAGAGAGAGTGAAAAAAAAAAAGAGCAAAATGGAAGCAAACCCATGAATTTTCAGATTTTCGCTGGCAACAATAGGGAAATTTGGGGAGGGATGAAGGAAGGGGGCATAGGCGCACTTCAGTCTGTGGCATTGTGGGAAGGCGTCCCGGACTGCAGCCCTAGCTTGGCTCCCGACCGCCTGTGAGACATTGGGAAGGTCACCTTGCCTCTCTGACCCTTGGTTTCCTCACCTGCAAAATGGGCGTAATAACTCCTGCCCCATAGCTCATGAGATAGTGGAAGGGAAAGCCTTACTTACGTGAACCATAAACCTCTACAAAAGTACTGGTGATTATTTTACTGTTAGTTAATAGTGGATCTAAAAATACTTGGAAATTTCAAACCTCACACTAAAAGGGAATATTATCAGGCGAACCTTTTCATTTCAAAGGTGCAATACCATGGAATATCAGTGCTGTGGCTAGAAGAGGTCTATTTTATGTTCAGATAATTGGGAAGAGATGTAATTGAATTTCATCATTAATGAAACTGATGATCAGGAACTTGAGTTCCTCTTTTATTTCCTCAACCTGTATTTGTGGCACATCTACTCTTGCCTTGCTCTTTGGGGCTGGGTTCCTGAGATAGAGTGAGCCAGGCATGTGTCTCCCCTTCCCCTCCTCCTCCAAAGACAAACTGAGAGGAAGAGGGTTTCCAGTAAAGGAAGGGATCGGGATCAGTAGAAACGGAGGGCTTCTGAGCATCTGTAGGTAACGGCTGGTCTACGTCTAGGATATTACTCGTGAGTGAATTTATTCTATATTGAATCTAGTAGGTTTTCTTCCATAAAACCTTCTGGATTTTTCACTTTCCTTATTATTTGCCCTCCATTTGCTGTTGATGGTTGAATACCTGGGAAGTATGCCTGCTACTTACCCCTTTACTGAAAAAGTTCCCTCTTCACTGTTAACCTCTGAGTCCTTCCTGTCTTTCCAAATGAGCTCTTCAGATATACAGCCACAGAGCCCAAGGACTGGGAAGAGCCTTAGAGAAAATATATTCTGGTTCCCTCCCTTTACAGAGACGTGAGCCGAGACCCAGAGAGACCATGCAGTTGCTCAAAGGTCACACAGTAAATTAGCAACAGGGTTGGAATACAATCCAGGCTTCTCTCTAGGGCTCCTTCCCCGCTCCAAACTGCTCCCAGCTCTGAAGTGTGCTCTCATCCTTCCATGTTGCTGAATGGCCTTTGTCCAAAGTCACTCTGCCCTGTTTTGTGACTAATCGCTCAGGATATAAGGGTGAACTAGTAATTTCCTGGGTACCTTTCCTGCAGAGAGGAAACCACTGATGAGAGATTGAGTTTGGCATCACAAATGAGCCACATTCTCATTTGGTTACCACTCTGGGATGACTCTGACTTACGAGGTATGCTTTGTGGCACTCCAGAAGCTTGGAGAAAATTCTAAAGCCAGTGAAATCCCCAGTTTCTTATGTGCACTAAGAAGGGTTAGAAAGAACAGAGACCTGGAATCCTGATCACCAGGAGGCAGGCCCCACTCTTCCCCCTACCTCCCCATGTGGGCAAATGTCACTAGGCTTTTTCATTCCTTCGTTTGGCCCCTTATTCAGTTCTTTGTTCATTCAGTCATTAAAGCTCAGGGACTCATGCTGCACCCTAAGGATGCACTCACATAGAAAACATGATCTCTGTCCTTGGGTAGGACAATCTGGACAGAGAACAGACACACAGAAAATATATATTGTGCTGCTGTACCTGGGCTCCCAGAAGCCTTTATAAAATTGCACCTGATGTTGCCTGGGGGTGAGGCCCAGGGGAGACTTTACAAAAGAGGCAAGGCTGAGGATAAGGAAGGTCTGAAGGATGATCAGGCAACAGGTGGGCTCCAGAAATAGAAAATAGTATGCATCTATTCATCTGTTCATCTCACCGATAGGTGTTAAGCCTTTAGCTCAAGGAATAAGGAGATGATACGACATGTTCTTGGTCCCCAAGGAGCTCCCGCGAGCTTGAGCAAAGACTCCAGGGCCTTGGGGAGAGCATCTGGCTTCAGGGAACAGGAAGTAGCTCGCTCAGGCTGGAGTGAAAGCCCCTGTGGAGGAACGGGAAGAAGAGAAGAACTCGGAGAAGAAGGCTTACAAAATGTCATGGAAGGTTTGTGATTTACCTGGAGGACCAGAAGGAAGGTTCATGGGAAGGGGGGTGGGGAGCTTGCAGAGGGCACCATCACCCAATTTTCAATTTTGGAAGACCTTTCTGGTGGAAGAGTGAGAAATGAATGAGAGTGGGGAGCAAGGGGCAGCAAAGCAGACAAATCAGGAGGCTATTGCTGATGTCCTGGAGAAGTGCACGGACAGAAGAGACACAGGGGATGTTCCTGGACAGGACTCACCAAGTCATACTTTCTATGCCCTTGTTACTAAAGAGGAAGTTAAAAGAAAGCAAGCTTGGGGCACCTGGGTGGCTCAGTTGTTAAGCATCTGCCTCTTAATCTCGGCTCAGGTCTTGATCTCACAGTTTGTGAGTTCAAGCCCTGCATCGGGCTCTGTGCTGATGGCACAGAGCCTGCTTGGGATTCTCTCTGTCCTTCTCTCTGCCCCTCACCTGCTTGTGCTCTCTCTGCCTCTCTCTCTCTCTCAAAATAAATAAGTAAATGTTAAAAAAAAAAAAAAAGAAAAGAAAACAAGCTTGAGCATTGTCACGACCCTGCTTGGAATCATCCTACGTGACCCACGATGCTCAGTCTCAGAAAAGCTGGGCCCTTTCTCGGTCCTGCTGCTGGCCAGAGAAAATCATGTTGCCGCGTGCTGGATCTTTCTCCTCACCTGTCATACCTGGGACTTGGAGTTAAGCTTCCCCTGGCTTCAGCTCTGTGACGGTCTATGCCCACGCTTCTGAGTGCTGACAACTGACGTCTGCAACATCTGCGTTTACCAAGGACATTTAGGGTCTTAGGATCTGGGCCGGTTGAATAGCCTGGCCCTCCAGGGAGACAGAGGGTCAGATGACAGACAGTGGCAAGCACTGGGGTAATCAGGGAAGCCATCTGTGGAGGAGGGGAGGCGGTGCGGTGCAGAAATGGGGAGGGACTTAGCTCGGAGAAAGAGAAAGTCACCTCGTGGGGCCACGGCAAGCCGGCACAGTGGCCGTGGCAGGCTGGCCGATGGCAGCCTATGCCCTGATTAGTCAGGGCATCCCAGGCTGGCTGGCAAATACGGTAAATAGCCTCCCTGAATGTAGGGTGGCAACTTCCCTTGCTAGAATGTACTCTGTACATGGGAGGAGAGGGAGGAGAAATTGGAAACAGAAGGTGCCGCAGGAGGGAGACAGAGCTTGATCGCAGAGGCTCTGAAAGAGAAGCAGAAGGCCTGAGTATTTGGCTCTTCTTCTCACCTTGTCCCTGCACTCTGAAGCCTTGATGCTGGTGGGCTAAATTAGGGCTTAAGCATGCCGGCTCCCTCTCCAATTCCAAGTCTTCCCAGACCTCAGGCAAGTTCCTCAGCCTCACTGGCCTCGGTTTACCCATCTGCAGTATGGGGTCAGTGAGGATAGTACCAATATGATGTGCTCTATTGAGATGATGTAAGGAGATAATGTGTTTAAGTCCCAAACACAGGGCTTGGTATACAGTAGGTGCTCAGTGCAGGTCCACGGGCCCTGGGTTTTTTGGCCTCTCTGGTGTGTTTGATGTTGAATGTCTTTGCACGGCTCCTTTGGTGCCCCCCCCCACCCCCCGTCCCCGGTCGGTCCCTCAGAATCCTGAGCTACTCCACAACCAGCAATGTGATTCTTTTCTTCTAAAAGACTGCTGTCAGTTTCATACATTTTGCATGATCTCCTCCCTTGGAAAGCGGGTTTTCAAAAATAAATGCAATTTAGAATGACATACTTTTCCCTTGCCTGCTGCATTTCCGTGAGCCTTGTGTGGCTGGGAAGAAAACCAGCCAGGGGTTCTCAGGGAGTGTGCTCAGCTGTGGAAATCCTTGGGTTATAAATAGTGTGTGTGTGTGTGTGTGTGTGTGTGTGTGTGTGTGTGTTTTAATATGATGGACTCATTTTCTCTGATCATAAAATCCATGGCTTCTATTTATAGCCACAATGTTGCTCGTTAGTACTGAGGGATTTTAAAAATAGTCCTCAGGAACCGGGGTGGGCTGGGGCGACTGTCTCCGTATGAAGGCAGCAGAAGGGGCCTGGAGATCTGAGACTGGGATTTGGGGGTCTTTGCATTAACCCCCTGCCGTCTGCGGCTCCTCCTTGGTGCCAGGTTCCCTCAGGCCTTGTGTCTCCAGTATGTTGGTTCCAGTGAAGAGATTTCTTCATTCATTCACTGAGAACCTGCCCTGGGCGCGCCATGGCGCTGGGCTTTCGGGAAGTCAGTAGCGTGCTCCTGGTGCGGAGGTCTTCAGAGCCGAACGGAGGAGAGAGGCGTGCAAATACTCACAGGATTCCACGATGAGGCCGTGATAGATGCCAGAGCACAGGTGTGCTAAAGGCCTACGTGGCACGGGGGGTGGTACGCTTCATTGTGCCCAGGGCAGCAGGAGAGCCCCCTCTGGTCGGTTGGGGCTAGCGGCTCCCAAAGATATCCGGGTCCTGGTCCCTGGAACCTGTGAGTGTTACCTTATGCGGCTAAAAAGACTTTGCAGATGTGATTAAGTTAAGGATCTTGAGAGAGGGAGACTATCCTGGTTTCTGGGTGGCCTCAATGTAAGCAGGAGAGTCTTTGTAAGAGGGAGGCAGGAGGGTCAGCTATGAGAGAGGAGGAGGAGGAAGAGGAGGAGGAGGACAGAGAGGAGGAGGGGGAGGAGGACAGAGAGAAGGAGGAGGAAGAGGAGGAGGGGGAGGAGGGAGAGAAGGGAGGAGGAGGAGGACAGAGAGGAGGAGGGGGAGGAGGGAGGAGGAGGAAGAGGACGAGGAGGGAGAGGAGGGAGGCTCCTGATTTCAGCTCAGGTCATGATCTCGCGGTTTGTGGAATTGAACCCTGCATTGGGACAGTGCGGAGCCTGTCAGGCAGAGCCTGCTTGGGATTCCATCTCTTGGTCTCTCTCTGCCCCTCTGAGCTCATGCTCTCGCTCTCTAAAAAATAAATAAACTTTGGGGCGCCTGGGTGGCACAGTCGGTTAAGCGTCCGACTTCAGCCAGGTCACGATCTCGCGGTCCGGGAGTTCGAGCCCCGCGTCAGGCTCTGGGCTGATGGCTCGGAGCCTGGAGCCTGTTTCCGATTCTGTGTCTCCCTCTCTCTCTGCCCCTCCCCCGTTCATGCTCTGTCTCTCTCTGTCCCAAAAATAAATAAACGTTGAAAAAAAAAATCAAAAAAAAAATAAATAAAAAATAAATAAACTTAAAAAAACCATAAACGTGTGTTGTTTTAAGCCATCAAGGTTGTGGTGACTCGCTTCAGCAGCCATCAAAAACTAATGCCGCCCAAGGTGACACGCTAGCTGGACCACTGTCAGGAAGACTTGGTGTTCGGAGCCATTCTCTCCCCGTTGGCACCTGCAGCTAGTTTTTGTGTAACTACCTCTCTCCTTGGCACAGCTCCCGCCTCGGTAAGGAGGGCTCAGCTCCAGCTCTAACGTGGAGAGTTGGGGCCCCAAATCGTTAGCATAATCCATCCCCTAGGCCATGTAGTTGGTCTGGGGATGCGCATGTGACATAGGTTGATCCAGTCACATGTGAAGAGAGTTGCTTTCCTGCCACACGCCAGCTCGGGGACGAAGCAGGGAGGATGCAGCCCCAGAGAGAGCCCCGGGCCATGGTGCAGCCATGAAGGAAAAATCATCCTGGGAAGGATGCGAACTCCAAGCAAGTAGAACCCGGAGATGAGACACAGGGTCCTGGTTGTGTCCCCTGAGCTGCTGGACGGTGCAGACACGCCAGCCAATTATATTTTCATGATGGTTAATTTTAGACCTCAATTTCGCTGGGCCCAGATACTTGGTCAAGCACGATTTCTGGGTGTGCAGATGAGGGAGTTTCTGGAGGAGATTGGCATTTGAATCAGCAGGGAGAAGAAAGCAGGTGTCCTCCCCACTGTGGGTGGGCCTCATCCATCACCCGACTATCTTCCAACTGGGACCTCAATCTTCAAGGAGGGTCACCAGTCTTTTGCCGCCTTTGGACTTGGACCAAGCCCGGCTCTCCTGGGTCTCCAGTCCTGCCGACTGCCCACCTTGGACTTCTCAGCCTCCGTAACCATGAGAACCAATTCCTGATAGTGAATCTAATCTCATCTAAAATACAGTCATTAATGTAAATAGAAACAGATCTCCTTTCCTATAGGTTCTGTTTCTCTGGAAAATCCAGGCTAGTACAAGTGTATGTTACCTAACTGGAATTTAAATAAAAAACTTAAAAAAAAAAAAAATAGCTTGACTGGGGTTTTCTGTTACTGACCTCTAAATATCAAATCAAAAATGGGCAGGTTGTGTTGTGAGCAAAGGGAAGGAGGACCGAAAGGAGGTCGGAAGGAGGTGCTGTGACTGCAGTCTGTGTTTGGTGTGGAGGAAAACGAAGTCCAGAGACGAAGGCCACGATCACAGTGTCCAACAGGGGCCGACTAAGGTTTAGATCACAGTTTGTGGAGTCTCGGAGCTGAGGGTAGTATGGCCAGTGTGGACTACAAACCCATTGTTTACAGATAAGGACACTGAGGCGAGGAGACAGGAGGGGCTCGCTGGAGCTCACGCTGTGAGTTGCTGACGAGCAGAACCAGAAGCCACGCGTCTCCAGTCTCTCGATTCGGTCGCCCCAGGCTGTTTCGCCCTAACTCTGCTGTCACACGGGGGGAGTGGGTACCCCGGATCTGGGTCAGTCACCTACATCCTGGTGCCCAGAACCCCCATCTGGGCAGCCTCCACCCAGGGGTTCCAGATGAGCTAGGCTCGAAGAGGAAATTCTTTTTGTGCCTTCTGTCTGTATGTTGCTCGCTGAAGAAACAAAGATGGCTACATGGGGCCCCGTTTTCCTGTACCACTGGTGGTTTGGTGTGTGGGACAGAGCAGGAGAGTGGGAGTCCCAGAATTGGGTCCAGCCAAACTCTGCCTCTTACAGCATTATGTCCACAGATAGTTGTTTAGCCCAGCAGACCCACGGTTATCCCACGGGATCTTTCAAGGGCAGCAAATGGGTACAGATGTTGGAGGTAACATACTTTCTGAATCATAAAGTTCTGGGCATCCACCAGGATTGTGATCACGCAGATTTTCCCTCCTCCTATGAAGGATGCTCCATAGACTCTGGGAGCCCTGACAGCAGGCCCATCGGGCACTCCAGAGAGTGGAGCTTGGTCCCAGGGACAGTTCAATGCCTTTGATCTAGAAATAAGCCATGAAGGAATCTGCCTTAAACTGAGCATGGAGAAGTATGCCAGGGATTGTGGGAATGCTCCACAGAGTCTCATTGTGCTTCTCCACACAAAAAAGAAAGCCAGCTGGTGTAGGGGTTGGGAGAGATGTCTTTAAAAAAAAGAAAAGCTTCTCTTCCACTAGCTCAATATAAGAACGTACATCCTGGGGTGTCTGGGTGGCTCCATCAGTGAAGCGTCTGACTCCTGATTTCAGATCAGTTCATGATCTCACAGTTGTGAGATCGAGCTCTGCATTGGGCTCTGTGCTGGGTGCGGAGCCTGCTTAAGGTTCTCTCTCTCCCTCTGCCCCTCTCTCACTCGCATGCATGGTCACTCGCTCTCTCTCTTTCTCCAAAAAAAAAAAAAAAAGTGTACATCTTTTATACAAACAAAAGTGGAAAGTCAGCAAATGGCATAGCAACATAAGCCATAAAATACAGAATGTCTTGGAGATGGAAGGGACTCCATAAAGCATCTAACTTACCACACTTATTTTACAAATGAAGCACCTGAGGTCCCCAAAAGGAATGCAACTTGCCCAAGACTGCAGAGGAAATTCTTAGCATTGCTGAGGCTGGAAGGCATTATTGTGCACTCTTCCCATAATTCCGCTGGGATGCCCGCAGTCCAGACCTTGACTCCTGGCACCTGTGAAGTGTACCAACCATCCTCATTTGTGTGTGTCCACTGGCCACAAAACACACAGGGCCACTATCTCAAATAAGACCGTGACATTTATTTGCTAGGCTTTGGAGACATATGAAAATCTTTGTGTAAAATTTTATAGCGTCCAAGAGATTTCCTTCTAGAAAACAGCGTGAGGTTATAGCTAAGGGGTGCATTTCAGCAAAGATGAACCCTCTCTTTCCAAGCCACCATTATTCCCTGGGTCCCCAGTGAGCATCTTCATTTCTTGCCACGAGTTGAGTGCAAGCTTGACTTGTGCCATCATTTTACATGTGTCCCACAACAAGCCAAAAACTTAGCTCCATACAGACATTTCTCTAAAAATGGCATGCAAATAAATAGCCAACGGGTCAAGGAAAAGATGTTCAACATCACTAACCATCAGGGAAATGCAAATCAAAGCCCCCAAATCACCTTATGTCTGTTAGGGTGTTGTTATAAATAAATAAATAAATAAATAAATAAATAAATAAATAACAGGTAAGTGTTGGTGACGTTGTGGAGCCACGGGAACCCCTGTACTCTGTTGGTGGAAATGTAAAAGGGTGGAAAATTGTGGAAAAAAGTGTGGAGGTGCCTCAAAAATTTTAAAATAGAACTGTTGCATGATCCAGCGACCCCATTCCCAGGTAAATACCCAAAAAATGGAAATTGGAACCGTGAAGAGACATCTGTACTCCTCTTCTTCATTGTAATAATAATAATTCATAAGAGCCAAGATATGGAAACAGTCCCAATGTCCGTCAACAGATAAATGGATGAAGAATGTATGGTATACCCATACAGTGGAATATTATTCAGCCTTTAAAAAGAAGGAAATCCTGTCACTTGTTACAACATGCGGGGAGCTGGAGGATGTTATGTTGAGTGAAATAAGCCAGTCACTGAAAGCCAATGCTGCACGATTGACCTATCTAGTCAAGTTTGTAGAAGCAGAGACTGGAATGGTGGTTGCCATGGGAACAGGATGAGGGGGAAATGATGTTTAGAGGGCATAAAGTCTCAATTACACAAGATGAGTAAGTTCTAGAGATCTGTGGTACAGCCTGGCATCTGTAGATAGACACACGGTACTGTGCACTTAAAACTGTGGCAAGAGGCTGTTTCGAAGGGACACATGCACCCCTATGTTTATAGCAGCATTATCAACAATAGCCAAAGTATGGAAAGAGCCCATATGTCCACCGATGGATGAATGGATAAAGAAGTGGTATATCTATACAATGGAATATAACTCGGCAATCAAAAAGAATGAAACCTTGCCATTCGCAACTACATGGATGGAACTGGAGGGTATTACGCTGAGTGAAATTGGTCAGTCAGAGACAGACAAAAATCATATGACTTCACTCATA